TAATACTTCTGCTGGCTGGCCAGGAGCTGTAGACAAAGAGGGCCGCCCGCCCCCTGGGAGAATTACTGGCTGCCAATCTGCCCTGCCAACCCAGAGTGAGTGAATTATTTCACACATACTAGCCAACAAAGGGACACCTGCTGGTTGCTCTTTCTGGAATGATCTCTTCCCACTGTTCCTCTGGCCAGCTCCAGCCAATCCTTCAGAAATCAACTCTTCCAACAACTCTTCCCTGAGTCTCCCTATCCCTATAATAGGGTCCTCTCCTCATGGCCCCAAGCATCCTCTACATAACCTATTATCATTCTACCTCAGCATCCTTCAAACTTGATGGACCAGAAAACTCCTTCCCAGTGATTTATAATCAATTTCATAATGATTATTTTCCATTGTTTCTCTTCTGTTCATAAAGAAGCAATTTAAATTTTAAAATAATTTCCTTTACATCACATATTAATAAGGATTCTTTTTTTTTTTAAATCCTCACCCAGGGATATTTTTCCATTGATTTTTAGAGAGAGTGGAAGAGAGAGGGAAAGACAGAGAGAAATATTGATGTGAGAGAAACTATCGACTGGTTGCCTCGTGCATGCTCGAGCCCTGACCAGGGAGGAGTCTGCAACCAGGTACATGCCCTTGACAGGAATTGAACCTGGGAACCTTCGGTCCACAGACCGATGCTCTATCCACTGAGCCAAACCAGCTAGGGCTTAATAATGATTCTTTAACATATTAACAAAAAAAAATTTTTTTTGCATGTTTATTAGCTGCCAGACACAGTTCTAGATGCTTGAGATGCATTATTGAATAAAACAGGCAACGTTCCCTACCCTCTGGGGCTGACATTCAAGTAGGAGAGACAGAAAATAAACACATGAATAAATAAATCATAAAGTATGTTTAAAAAAGAAACTTTGATGGCATTCCTAATCCATAAAGACCTCTTAGTTTTTGCCACTTAATCAAGTGATACAGGCCAATTTACTTTTAAAAATATATATGTTTTTATTGATTTCAGAGAGGAAGGGAGAGAGGTAGAAACCTCAATGATGAGAATGAGAATAGAATCAATCATTGCTCGGCTGCCTCCTGCACACCCCCTACTGGGGATCAAGCCCACAACCCGGGCATGTGCCCTGACCGGGAATGGAACTGTGAACACCTGATTCATAGGGAGATGCTCAACCATTGAGCCACACTGGCTGGGCCAGGCCAAATTACTTTAAAACATACCAAGATCATTGTCAGAATAGAAGCCTCTTTTCTAATGGAAACACTTTTTTGTATTCTACCCCAGCAGACTTTAATCTTATGAATCAGTGATATTAGAATATAATATGGTTATAAAAAAGAAAAATTCTTTATAGAAAGCAGTAAAAACTTACATTTCCTTTTACTTAATCTCTAGTTTACATATATCCATGCCTGGCCAAAGTACAATCATAAGCTCAGATGATTTCCATGCAACCATTCCACAAATTTAGTGATTTTATATTTTTCAAAAGCATTGCCATCAAAATAAAAAGACAAGTACAAGTGATTTTCAAAAAAATAAAAAGGCAGGTTATTAATTTGTCCAAGAGAAACTCAGACTTCAAGATAAATTCTATAATCTTGAAACTCTTTTAACAAGTGACATAAATATAGGGTTTGCTTATGAAATTACATTTAGCATTCAATAAGAAAATATTACTTTTTTGTAGCAGACATATTTTTCATTCTAGTTCTCCATTTCTATAAACATGAAGCCATGTGCTTCTATAAAACCAGACTCTAAGAACCTAAAATATAAAATTCTGAACAAAGGTCAAAGTTATGATAATCTGATATAAAAATTTTAAACCTTATGTGATGGGTTTTTAAAGCTTTAATTGAAAATGCTGCTCAGTATTTATTAAACTTTTCTCGTTATGAACATCTTTATTAGCTGAGATATTTCTTTAGCAAGAAACTCATCTACCTTTTCATCATTCAGTGGTTTAGTTCCCATAGGAGCAGCAGAATAAATGCTTGATTCTTTACCTTATTTACTAGTTTTCAAAATAATGAGTTGATTCCTCCAAAAGTGGCCATTATGTTTTTTGAGTGCCATTATGAACCCATAGATTTAAACAGATGTGTTTCCATCCATTGAAGTTATTATTCTCATTTATGCTCAAATTGTCCCAGCTTTGGCCTTTGGGAGCCTTTTTGTTGGTTCCTGTGCCCTCCTGAAATGACCTTGCCAGTCTTTTATTGCTAACGGCTTCCTTGCTTTCTGGTTTGACCAGATGGTCCAGCCTCAACTTGTACATTCTGGGAAATTGTACCCTGGCCAGTGTGGCTCAGTTGGTTGAGCGTCATCTCCTGCACCTGCACTAAAGGGTTGCTGGTTCAATTCCTGGTCAGGGCATATGCCCAGATTGAGGATTTGATTCGCCCTTGGGATGTGTGGGGGAGGCAGCAGATCGATGTTTTTCTCTCTCTCTCCCTTCCTCTCTCTCTAAATTCAATTGAAACATATTTCATTTAAAAAATGTGGGAGAGTCGGCCTGGTGGTCAAATCCCTCTAGTATTAACTACAACAATCAAGGCTTAACTAGAACAAGACTGCGCACAAAGACCACTAGGGGGTGCACCAAGAAAGCATAAAAAATGCAGAGACAAAAAAACATGACAGAAATGGACGATATAGAGCTAAAAAACGCAATTTTGAGGGCTTGCAAAAATGTGCTAGAAGCTGTCAATAAACTTGAGGAGAGAGTCACGAAAACTAATGAGACCCTCGATGCTATGATAAAGAAACAACTAGAAATTAAGCATACACGGTCTGAAATAAAGAATATTACACCCAATAGCAGACCAGAGGAGCGCAAGAATCAAGCCAAAGATTTGAAATGCGAAGAAGCAAAAAACACCCAACCGGAAAAGCAAAATGAAAAAAGAATCCGAAAATACGAAGATAGTGTAAGGAGCCTCTGGGACAGCTTCAAGCGTACAAACATCAGAATAATAGGGGTGCCAGAAGATGAGAGACAGCAAGATATTGAAAACCTATTTGAAGAAATAATGGCAGAAAACTTCCCCCACCTGGTGAAAGAAATGGACTTACAGGTCCAAGAAGCGCAGAGAACCCCAAACAAAAGGAATCCAAAGAGGACCACACCAAGACACATCATAATTAAAATGCCAAGAGCAAAAGACAAAGAGAGAATCTTAAAAGCAGCAAGAGAAAGAGACTCAATTACCTACAAGGGAATACCCATACGACTGTCAGCTGATTTCTCAACAGAAACTTTGCAGGCCAGAAGGGAATGGCAAGAAATATTCAAAGTGCTGAATACCAAGAACCTACAACCAAGAATGTAAGTATACATGTACGTAAGTTTGTTATAGATTTTTCTTAATATAAAAAATATGTAGCACATAGTTTAGAAACAATGAAATGAGCAAACATCCTTTGTTGTAAATCCAATATAGCTAAGTAATTCTCACAGAATGCTCTCACTGATTTTTGCTGGGCTCTTGCATCCACAGCCAACCTGTAGTTTCCAGTCAGCCATGTTTTGACCAATGGCGTTGCATCTGATTTGTAGCGCCTGCCCATTTCCTTGGTGTAAATACTCCCAACATGGCGACTGTCACTGAACATGGAGTTGGGAAGAACTGCACCTGGGAATGTAACCTAGTTTGGAAATAGGGTCTTTGCAGATCTAAGGGTCTTGAGATGAGATGATCCTGGACTGAAGGTGGCCCTCTAAAGCTAATGCCTAGTGTCCTGATCAGAAACAGGAGAGAAGACACAGAGGAAGGAGGGCCACGTGAAGACAGGAGAGGCGGGAGCTGTACAGCGGCAGGAACGCCAGGTGCCAGGGGCCTACAGGCAGCGCCAGGAGCGAGGAGAGCGCCCTGGGGGGATCCGGCCTCAGGGCCTCCGCGAGGACCCTCGTCTCAGGCTGCTGGCCCCCACGTGGCAGGCCATGCATTTGTTTCCGGGCCTAAGGCCATCAGGTTTGCAGCGATTTGCTATGACGGCCCCCGGAAACTGATCCAGTAGTAAAGGGATGACCCCGGGGTGGGAAACGCTGAACGAGACACACGCCATGCCGGGAGTCAGAGGACTTCGCTCCGTGATAAGCTGAGGACTGAGTTCCCAATACCCTCATCTGAGCTCCTTAACAGGCCCCGGACCAGCATTTTCACTCGCTACAAATAAGTGTTTTTAAAATGAAAATAAATTTAATAATTTAAATTTAATAGTTGTTTTACACATTTATGTTCTAATGGGACTTGACCTCATGTCCCTATAACTGGATCACCATCATGGCCCTCGAGTTCACAAGCTACCTTTAGGGAAGGACTATTCTCCTCTTGTCTCGCCATTTTACAGAAGGCTCGGGTGGAGGGGGTGCCTCGCGTCTCCAGGAGAGACTAACTGGTGCTGTGACCGCCGTTCTAATTCCTACAGAGCGATATTTATTCTTCCCACCTCCAGCAAATACTCCCACGGGTGGGAAGGACTATTCTCTTGTCTCGCCATTTTACAGAAGGCTCGGGTGGAGGGGGTGCCTCGCGTCTCCAGGAGAGACTAACTGGTGCTGTGACCGCCGTTCTAATTCCTACAGAGCGATATTTATTCTTCCCACCTCCAGCAAATACTCCCACGGGCGCCTTTTCCCCAGACCAGAGCAGGACGCGGAGGCAGGGGTTCGAACCTGCACAGTGGGAGCGTGTCACCCGTAGCAGGACTGAGGGAAGCGAGAGGCGGGGAGCCTGGAGCTCGGAGGTCGGCGCGCTCTGAGGCCGCCAACGGCC